CGTTGTAGACAGCAGCAGCGCGACGATTACTTTGTGTTTAATAGAGATTAATAGAAGAAATAGCAAGCTGAATATCTGCTTCATTTAAAGCTAATTGAGTAGCGCTACGTTGAGCCATTGTTCGTTGAGATAGGAGAGGTGCGCAGGTTTGGTGGGGTGCGGCGCTCGCTTGCCACATACGTTATACAAATTTAATCCATCTCCAGATGTTTACAATTCAATGCGACATGCCTGAAGATAATCTTGAAAAAAAACGGGTATACGATAAATGGACATGTGCAAAAGAAGAAAAAAATGAGGGACAGGTCCATCTACCAGTCCATATGCTATGTGTGCGACCTAGCGCGCTCCCCTGATACAAGCCACCACGACTTGAAAACGCCACAGGGTCGAAGGACCGGGAATCCCATCTATGAACCTCAACCCCAGGTTACAGCGAAGGGAAGGATGTAAAAACGGGCATCAAGTCGACAGTGGCAGACGGTAGCACACCTCTAGCCAGCAAAACAATGTATACAATAAAATGAAGTTCATGATTCATAAAGTCATTACACACACACATGTCTCAATTCCCCGGCCCCGTGAAATTCCCAATGAACACAACTAAAATCGCACAATATGCCGCCGACGCAGCAAAAAGCTCATGCCGCGCCGCCTTGGTCAGCAGACTCATGGCCGCGCTGAACAAGAGCGTAAACACCATTAACACGCCAACAGCATTGAACGTATCGCGCTTGTTGACGTTGGCGGCTCCTGCATTGACCGCCGCCGCTGCTGCTGCCGAAGAAGACGAAGCAGCAGAAGAGGAAGAGGAAGGGGAAGAAGGGGATTCGTAATGCGCAGCTGTATTGGTGAGTTGGTACATTGTGACGACGGGGACGACGAGCAGGGCGAAAATGACAATGGTGATGAGTACGTTGACGAGCTTGTCGATGCGCGAGGAGCTGTAAAAGGAGACGTAGGGATTTGTTGTTTTCTCCTGAGCTTCTGGGGTGCGGAAGTATTTCTACAAGTAACCTGTTAGCATGCACACATCTGCACATCTACACGTGACATTTCAGGGGAATATAAAATCTGAGGGATTGGGTTATTACGAACATACCTGTAGCGGCAGGGATTCAGTCCTAAAGACTTTTCGTAGCACGCGATCAATCTGCCCGATGAGCGTTTCAACGCCGCCATCGAACGTGGCCCATTCGCGCCCATTGTGCAGCGAGACAATGTCTTCTTTGCTGCGGAGCGCATCCATTTCCGCGTCCAGCAACGGCTTCTCGTTGTGGCAGTAGCGCCGCACGCTGCGGTAGTTGCGGTCAGATGGCCGCTGGAAGGATTCCAGCGTGCGTGCTTTGATGAGGACTTCGTCTTGATATCCTTGTCAGCATGCTCCGCGGATTGTTTGTAGAGAGTGAGAGAGGTAGTTACCATATTCTATGAGCTTCGACTTGATCTCGCCGAGCACGATACGCCGCGTACGGGGCGCGCCGTCGCCGTCGGGCTGCTGGGAATCAAAGTCGCGACATTTCAAGCGATTGGCATCTTGGTCGTAGTCGTCCCAGTCGATTTCATCGAGTTCTTTTTCCAGGCTGGTGATTTCATCCTGAAGATCGAGGAGGACGCGCGAATGCAGGTAGTTGAAGGAGCGGTATAGGGAAAAGTTTGGCTCGCTGGATTGGAAGGCGGCAAGTCGGGGGAAGCCGTTGGGGGTTTGCTCTACTACTGCTGGTTAGCAACATGTCGTGTAAGATCAACCATTTGCTTACGCTTTCGCGTTCTGTTTTCCGTTACATATTCTGGCTCTGGGTCTGAGCAGAATGGCTTTGTTATGCGTTTGAGCAATTGGGGCCGCTTTTTCCTTCCTTCTATTCAATGTTAGTGTTCGGGTTGGACAAAGCGCATACAGCAATTCAGTATCTCAGAGCCATAGCGTACGTACGAGGCTGAACGCCAGGATAAGCTCACATGCTATAGCTGCATGCTGACTAGGGTCGTGCGGCCAAGACGATACAGTTTGGGGGCCAAATGGGTGAGCAGGATCACGTACGAGGCTGTGCACTCTCAATGTCAATCGAATCCGTCCGCACTGACGACTGGATCGTAGAGTGGGCGTCTTCTGCGGTTTCGACGAAGCCGTCACCTGCCAGCGTTGCATCTGTATCTGTGTTTGTAGGTGATGCTGGGGATGCTGGGGATTGAGGCGTCTTCTCGTCGGCCAAGGTCTCTCCGGTCATGGTACGAGGAGGGGTCATTATGAGCTGGAACTAAGCGAACTGCGACGGAAAAAAAGCGATTGAGAGGATGAAAACTTTTGCGCGGAAGCCAGAAATGCTCAGACGAACGTGAAGAATGAACTGTGGCTCAACAGGCTGTGGCGGAACAGCAGTGTATGTAGTAGGATGAAGAGGATCCATTTGTGAGATGTGTCAAGGCTGTTTGCCGCCTCAATAAACTCAGCCCCCAAACGCCCCGGACGCCTGTTCCACAATTGGCTGTGCGCATGTCTTTCCCAGCTGCCTGGCAGCATTCCTGTGAGCTCAGCCACACGCCGTGTTCGCATGCTCAGCTTCCCGGCTTCAGTTCCTTTTCACGTGTCCAGCCGCTTTCCACCTGCAAGTTGTAGACACTCTTGAGCTGGTATTCGACATAGCCCGCCGAGCTGATGCGGCGATTGTAGACTGTAAAGACACCCTTTGTGCGCATGCCGTTGGCCAAGACTGGCTTCTGGACAACATCGCCTTTTCTGAAGCGCGCGCTTGCCTAAGACATGTTAGACATTGCAAGGCATTGTCTGTGATGTAGGGCGTCGGGTCCGGGGCTTACCATGGCGGCGGCGGGATCCACGCGCACGCCGGACTTTGTGTCTGGGATTTCGTCTGGGGTTGCGTCTTGGAGTGATGAGGCAACATAGTCGTCGTGTGGCTGGTGGTCAGCCCCGTGCGGCGGAGACGGCAAGACTGGAGAAGGCATGTCGTCGGCCTGTATGGGCTGGTGATGCTGGAGTGTGCTGGTCGCCATGGCTTGTGTGGGGAGCGGGAAGTGAGGCAGAACAGCCTTGTGCACGCAACCGTCGAGGACGAGAAGAAGTGGCTGTTATTATACAGGACCTTGTTGCTGGCCTCTCAAAAGCGCGCTTGCTGCAGGCCCATGCAACGCAGATGGCGATTGCGGTTGGGGGCCCATTTGCTTGCACAGCCGCCGCCTGGGGCACGACGACGCCAGCGAGCCGCGAGCAGGGCGCACGACAGGCGCCTGGTTGCTGAGCAAGCCGGCTCAATTGATTGCCATTTGCCATGGCGGCCGTTCGCATAAAAACGCCAGCCCCCCGCGGTCCGACAAACTTGGAAAATGCATGGTGGTCGCTGGGCTTTCGGCCCCCAATGGGCTGGTGGGGCTTGTACAAGGCCCTTCACGCCCGCGCTATGGGAAGCATGCTGCATGTCCCGCTCGAGATGGGGGCTGAAAGGCGGCGGCTGCTGCTGCTGCTGTGAACGCTTTCATTCATTATGGCCGCTGCTGCAAACCTCACGCTCTGCAGCAGCCATCTCGCCCCTTTCCTGATTCATGGCTCTTTCAGACCTCAGCGCGCGTGTCGCCGACGCGGTGGTGGCCGACATGGCGCCTCGCGTCGTGAACCCGTACCCGAACAAAGTGATCCATGCCGACATCAGGATCCAGTCGATTGACGACGAGCTGGGCCAAGATGGTTCGCTGGCGCCGGGCGAGGGGCGGCCGGTCGAAAGCGTGGCGAGCGCGGGCGATGTCGACTACCAGGAGAAGGCGGCAGAGATGCAGACGTGGTGGGCCGAGGCGATTGCGCGCAACATGGACCTGCCCGAGGGCTACTCGCATGTCGCGGTGCTGATTATCAAGTGGGCGGACCAGCTGGACGAGCTCAAGACGGGCGATGAGGTGCGTGGGAGGAGAGGCTGGCCGTGGCGGACACGGCCACGGCTGACTGCAACACACAGGCCCGCGAGCTCGACGCCCTCTTCCGCGACTCGTTCAACTACACGACGACCATTGTCGAGCTGAACGTCGGCAAGAAGCCGCAGCACCAGCTCGACAGCTACGTCAGCGACTTCATCTGCAGGCACGACGGCCCCGACAACCTCCTCATTGTATACTACACCGGCCACGGCGTCTTCAACGAGGCACGCAAATGCCTCGAGCTCACGGGCAGCCTGGCCAGCAACGCGCTGCTGCACGACCGAGCGCTCGGCAGGAATGCGCGCGCCACCTGGAACAAGGCCGAGGACCTGCTCCGCCACGAGGACGTCGAGGGCGACGTCCTGACCATTCTCGACACGTGCTACTCGAGCAACTTTGTCAAGTCGACCAAGGACGGGCACAAGCGCTTCGAACTGCTGAGCGCGTGTGCCATTGACCAGACGACCGAGGCGCCGGGCAAGAACTCGTATACCCGCGCCCTCATCGACGCGCTCAAGGAACTGCTCAACGAAGACGGCGAGGGCCCCATCTCCACCTTTCGCCTGTACCAGCGCGTCAACATGGATCCCAGGCGCAAGGACACGCCCTCGCAGATATGGTCTCGCGGGAAGAGCGCCCACCACAGCGAGCAGCACATCTTCCTGGCCCCGCTGAAGCTCGCCAAACCCCATGCCTTGCACCCGCCAGGCTGGCGCTCCAAGCCCAAGGGCTATCTGACGCTGCGGTTCGGCCTCCGCGACCCGACCTTGAACCAGCAGCAGATTGAGTTTATGACCAAGGCGCTTTCCAAGGCCTTTGCCAACAAGGCCCTCATGGGCCTGCGCAAGATTGAATGGGTCGACATGGAGTCTGCGCCGCCCATTTCACAGTTTGAGCACATTGCTTCGATTGTGCGCGTCGTGGCGCAGTGGAAGAAGGCCGTTGTCAAGCGAAAGGAGGCACGACAATCACAGCAGACATCGCAATCTTCACGAGGCCATTCTGCATTACCACAAATACATGTTGAACCAGCCAATGCGTTGCACAAGCGCGCACGCGCAGAAGAAGACGCAAACGACCTGCCGCACGCGAAGCGATCCTATCTCGATATTTCGCATCCTCCTCCCTCACCGCCAGTGTCGGAATCTTCGCGCATCGGCGAGGATCTGTGAATCATGTGCTTCTGCTGCTTTTTGCTCATTCCACTGTCTGGCTATCTTTCTTCGCCTTCCGTGCATTCCCCTTTTCACATTCCACCGTCTACCTTTCTTTTTTTTTATTTTTTTTTTGCATCCCACCGTCTAGCTACATAGTTAAAGATACCCTGATTCTTACCTTGCAAACTACAATTTCCAAGAAACCCTATGGCTCCCTTGTATGCCGTTCCGCTGCCTTCCCATGCTCCGCTTATTCCCGCGTGTCGTGCGCTTTCGCTCACGCCGGCCAAACCCAGTGGTGGTGTGATGTGCTCCAATCTCACCACCACAACCGAATTAGCATACGCAATACCGTCTCATGACGCCACTCACGCAGCACCGCGTTGCAAAAGTCACCTTGCCATCACAGCAAGCACAACGCTTTGTCATGTTGTGTATCGCGGTTGCTTATCGACGTGGTTTTTTTTGTTGCGCAACACTGCCACGTTCTTGTGTGCCAGCTACGTACGCCCGGTATATAAAAAGGCCTTTGCATACTTACTTTGGCATCATCCACACAAAGCAATCAACCCAACATTACTACTACCTACTACCCATCAACAAGTACATTACACGACACACAAGCAAATCTCCGTCGTACCAAACAACAACCAACAACAATGACGGCAACTACAAGCATCGCTGCTGTTTGCACAAACCAACACGACCACACCATTGGCCACTGCCGCGCCCAGCGCCATACCCTCTACTCGCAACCCGAGATGCAACATGCCGTCGCAGCAACAGCATTGCCCCTACCATCGCAAAGCACAGGCGACGAGTGGAACGAAAGCCAAGAGGAGCTTGCGCGCTGGGGCATCGGCACTAACACCACCACCGAGCAGCCCGCTGCAAAGCTGGCGTCAAGCAATGCCTCGTCATCCTCGACGCTGAGCAGTAGCGCCGTGCGTGGAGGCAGCGCATTGAAATTCGAGGACGTGACCAAGTTTTGGCAGTGAAGAGAAATGCCTTTTATACATGTTTCTTCCTTCTTGCAGCATATTCTAGGGATATAGGGATATACGATATACATGCATTGACTGGGAATCTCATCAAGCGTAGATCTACATATACAGTAAATATACGGTACATAGAAGGAATATCATTCAACTGATTTGTACACATGTATTTATTGCATTCTACAAATTCGCGGTTCACATACACATGCATAGAGTTCATCTATAAGGTTTTCAGGTAGCAAGAGTGGGGTGCTGATCCCACTTCCGCTATCGCAACATCCAAGACCATCTGTAGGAAGCTCGAAGCAAGGGGATCAATGTATTGGTATATAGATCTACAAACCACCTTTCTCACCATCAATTGAACAACAACCAATAGTCGTTGTGCCAGAGTGGTTAATGGGTATGACTCGAATATCTCCATTTATTCAGTAATCATATGCCTTCGGGCGCGCAAGTTCGAATCTTGTCAACGACGGTTTCAGATGTTCTCTATTTTTGCTGACTTTGGTTCCGGAGCGGTGCCCCGAAATTGACTGAGCCTAAATCTTTTCTGAATTTACTTTTTTTTGGTTCAATATCTTCGTCTCTGCAAGCTTTAGGGCTGCCGAGTTTCCAGATTTTGCATACTCCAGGCTTCCTTCAACCCTTCTTTCGCTCTTGCAGTGCACCTCTTTTCTCACTGAATCTTTCTCGTCACCACTTTGTCCCGCACTATTTCTACCCTACTAAGCGTGTGTCTGCCCTTACCAGCTTTACGCTATCGTTTCTATCTTCACGGCACGACACCATACGCATGGCAACTATGGAATCATAGCATGCAGAGCAATAACCTCAAGGACACAGCACATAAAAGAGGTCGAGTCTTGAATCATTACATTTCATGTCCCAGCTGCTATAGCTGTTCATAGCCACTTGTCTATTCAGACCCTTGACACTCGTCCAATCCCTTGCCAAAGCAAGCGCTTAAGCGGCAATGGTAACCTCAACCTCGACACCAGCCTCGATGTTGATGATGATCTGCTTGACGACCTCGGTGGGGGCGTGGAGGTCGATGAGGCCTGTTCCCGCTGTTAGCCATGCTCACACCTATTTTCCAACCCGCGCCACTTACGCTTGTGGATGCGCATCTCGTACGTGTCCCAAGTCTTGGAACCCTCACCGCAAGGGGTCTTGCGGGTGGTGATCTTCAGGTGCTTGGTGGGCAGGCGGACGGGGCCCTTGACACGGAGCTCCTTGTTCTTCGCACGGTCGATGAGCTCCTGGCAGACCTTCTCGAGGGACTTGACATTGCGCGAGGTGAGGGTGATTCGGATCTTGTGGATCTTGGGACCTGCGCGGCGCGTGAGAACTCGTCTTTGGTCAATGCCGTGTATGCAGTTCCTTACCCTCGCCAAAGTCCTTCTCGGGCTTGTTGTAAGACATCTTGTCGGGTTGGTGGATGGAGTGTTGGCTGTTGTAGGTGCTGAGTGTAGATTCCAGTCACGACCTGGATCCTCGATCTCGGTAATGTGATGACTGGGGTGGCTTTTCGAATTGGCGACGGCGTTCGTGGTCGTTGAAATCTTTCGCGACGCCGAAATTCCGTGTGGGCGGCGGCCGCCAAGATTGCGGCCACTAGCGCCGCATCGGGCATCGCTCCATTTGATCGCTCGGCAGCCTGTCCCATGAGCCATCATGACTACATGGCTCAAGATGGACACCAAATTTGAATCCCCAATAAGGACCTGCTCGCAAATACTGCGGTGCGCTCGTTACGAATCTTCCCCTGCTTTGCCCATCGCCTTCAGAGCCGCCAAAAGTAATGTCACTACCCCACTTTGCGCCATTCCCTGACGCAAAAGTCAGAAAGAGCATACTGGCTGAAGAACGGCAACTATATCTGGATGCCTGGGACTCATTAGCCGAGCTATACCTGCGAGCGCGAGACCAGCAGTTTGCATCAGCAATACAGGAGAAGGATACGCTCACTCCGTTTCTGACGTCGTTTTTCCATCAACTGGCACATGATGACGCGCTGGCACCGAGCGTACCATCGTTGCGAAAAAAGGCCTTCTTTCTGATCCACAGAGTCCTTTCACGAGATGGAGTCCCGGATGCTCTCCTTGGCTGGTCGGCTCTGTCTGATATCTGCCATGTTTACCCAAAGAGTGAGCAACTCCGTACGCTGTTGCAGGGTTTGTGGAAGCGAAAGGGTGCGACCATTGAAAAATCACTTCAAACAGCAAAAACTTCGTTGATCAGGAACCTCGAGTCAAAGCGGCCAGAGGAGACGGAAAGCACGCTTGATAGGATAGGCCCGCTCCTCAAAGCTTCCACGGACACGAGTATGTATATGCTCACGGGATCTGACTTCCTAGATGCACTTGTGGCGGCGTATCCTCGGGTACCCCAAGGAATGCAGAAGAAGCTAGTCACAGTAGCATACCTTGGTCTCACAGCAGCATTAGAAGGCCCAAAGCCCAACTATTCACTCCTTTCCGACCACTTGTACAGCCTAAAGTCTAGCGAAGAGCAAGAGCAGAAGAAAGAGCCAGGCAAGAAAACTCTAGTAGCAGATCTGGTCACCAATACGCCCTTCCTGGAGAAAGTCCGAGACAAAGCTGTGGCTCCCGAAGCCACACGAGTCAAGAATACGGCAGCGTCACTCAGCGCGTTCCGTCAAGCGAGTGTTGCCCGACCTAAGCAGTTGATCCGGCGTAAAGTGGACAAGGGCAAAGCAAAAGCAAGTCAGGATACCTATGGTCATGGCGCTTTTACTGGCGAGATTCACGTTCATCGTATGAGCATCGTCACTCAGATTCAAGACCTCTTCCCAGATCTAGGGGCTGGGTTCATCGTAAAATGCTTGGATGAGTACAATGATGATATCGAGCAAGTCACTGCGCATCTGCTAGAAGACTCACTGCCAGCGCATCTTGCTGCGGCAGACCGAAGTGAGAAGTTGTACGTTCTTCCTTTTCTAGTCTTCTCCAATCTTTCATGCTCACAGATTCCAGACCGTCTCCCGCGACAGCATCACAGCCAGTTCCTCCTCCACGCTCAAGCCAATACCTTCCCGAGCGGCGCAACGTATTCGACGACGATGATTTCGACAAGCTCGCCGTCGATACATCTCGCCTTCATATTGGCCGGCGAGGCCAAGACCTAAGTGCTGACAAGATCCTCTCCGACCGCAGCAAGGCACCCGCCAAGTCCTCCATCATGGCCGCCCTGGCTGCTTTCGACTCGGACGACGATGAGCGCGACGACACCTATGATGCAGAAGATGTCGGCGCATCAGTAGATACAGCTGCAGCTGGACTAGGCGAAGATGCTGATCTCGGCGATAAGAACGAAGAGGCTTTGTTCCGCGCATACATTATGACGCCTGATCTATTCAGTCGCGAGTCAGAGACACGAAAGGGCAAAGCGCGAACTGCTCTCAAGAGTGAGACGGGCATGACGGATGAGGCAATTGAAGGCTGGGCGATAATGATGGCACGCAATCCAAAGCAATTGCGTCGTCTCGAAGCAAAATACTCCACTTTCCAGGGCCAGCAGCGGGAATTACCATCGTCGCGGTGGGAGAGTCCTGCAGTATCTGGAGATGAAGTTAGCGGTGACGGATCGGGTGGTCGGGGCGCAAGAGGCTGTGGAAGAGGGCGAGGGCGAGGGCGAGGCGGTGGACGAGGTGGATTAGGTGGAAGAGGCGGCGGCAGTGTCGCCGGCCCCAATGATGACAAAGGCACGCAGATCTCGCGACAGAGGAAGGAGGCAAATAAAGGATCGAGTGCGAACCACAACCGCAAAGCTCAGCGAGGGAAGAAGATGGCGAGAGCAGGATTTCCAGCTAGCTAGCCTCATCGAGTCGAGCGAGTTGCTTGGAACTCTTGGTATATACTCTCCCACCTCAGTCTTTTAAGAAAAGTAATGACAGGGTTTCGGAGCAAGTCATGAATAGTAGATATTTCTTAGTCATGCATGTGCATACAGCTTCCAAAGCATCTCAGGCTTTGATATCAGTATATATTTGTACTAGGCAGGCGAGCCGAGCCGAGCATCTACATTACGTTTACTTAGTTTTAGTACTAAAAAATAGGGCTGCAGGATAGAGGCCCTAGGTAAGCTAACACCTTCCCTTCCCCTATCTATCTTACCACCCCACAGTACTGTGTCGAGGCGGTGAGGGTGATATTGTGCAAATACAACCTACTGAGCAAAGCGAAGTTTTAAGTGAACGCTAAATGCTGACTGCGCAAACAGAGTATGAAGGAAGAAGGTGATCTGACCGATTACTTCGTATCTGATACCAAGGGTGATCCACACAAATACGACAGAGGGTTAGCTACTTGAAATAAAAGCGGGCTATTTGTCTGTTACGTACTATAACACGATCAATGCTCCATATTGATATGAACCCTGGTAGCGACTAAGACTAGCCGCTTACTACCCATATAATCTTGCCTACGCACTCTATGCTGGAAGGATTTTCATACAAAATAAGTCTATCAATCACTCTTCGCTTTGGCGCACGTTTCGCATACGTTAGAATCAACATCTCCTCTCTAGCTCTTCAAAACATCATTACGGTATAAGTAGTAACAATTTACTCTAGAAACACCTGGTTAAGCCCTAGTTTCCTCGCTTAAGATGAAGTGGAGAGTGATCCTCGCAATGGCTCCCCTCCTGAGTGGTGTCCTAGGAGGTATCTGCTGCGAAGATAACCAAGTTGATGATATGGGATGCGCCTGTGGTGTTGGTGGTTACTGTGTAAATAAAAGCTTGTTTTACAACCCTACCTTAGGTCTAACATATCGCTCTCCTTCCCTAGTGCTATTATAATAACCTAAACGCCCACAAGAGAGATTGTAAAGGCTACTTTCCAAACTTTTTTCAACACTTCTATCCGCTGCAATCAGTAAAGCCAAACTGTGGAAACAACAATGAAGGAAAGATCTATTGTACGGGCACAAGTAGTCCTAGTTGCCCAAACATTGGTAAATAATATTAGCTTTCTTCTATACTATGTATAAAAGTCTAACATCTATAACTACACTATAAAAGAATAGTGACACTAAGCAAAAGTCTCGATCTTACTTTGTATTGCATTGACCTAACATGTAAGACAAATCCCTCTTTCGGTGGATTATCGTTTGTGCTCATATTGGTTGTAATTGCATACTTGATCAAAGCAAATGGTTGAAATGGACTATTAGTCTTAATTGAGAAACGCTGATTATTTCATAAACCTCAACCTACTGATATCTTGATTTATTCAACACTATTTTAAAAAATTACAGATACTCTTTTATCCCTAAGCTATGGCAATTGACAGTCCTTTCTATGAAGGTTATGGCTTGAGTAGCTATAAGTATACAGTGAAATATAGAATTTACAATCTGAAGTGTTGTTCCGGTCTCGAAGTCTACAGCACTACCACTGCTCTGGAAACTAGACTCTTAAAAGGTTCCAAAGGAATGATTTTTAGAGAAGAATAAACGGAGCTAGCTAGTAGGGTGCAACGCATGCAAACATTTATTTTCATTTCAACTGGAGACGTGATTTTTAAATTTATCCAACGCTCTCTTACGTGAAATCTTGTTTGAGAAACGGTAACAAGGAAGCTACTGGTATATATCATACGCTGTACTTAAGATATGTCAGGACTCTATGAAGTTCCTGCAAGTTAAATCGTTACTAATTCTAGCGATTTTATAGCTGGCTGCCACACGAAAGCTGTTCGTCCAATGTATGTAAAGCATTACGCTTAGGGAGTAGATGCACAGGCATAGTAAGGTTGTATTTGACAAGCAACCATGCAAATATCTGCAGGAGAGTTGATAACTGAGCGCCGATCTGATGAAAAATCTCTTCTGTTGGCTCGAGCGTTGATCGAACGCGTAATATACCGAACATTTCACCGACCATCTTATGTCCATACGCACCAAGAGGCCTTCAGCCCATCTCAATGTGCCACACCACAACCCGCAGTCATTTACATTTACATAGACCTGGATAGGGTCAGCCAGGTGCTGCAGCGACTACTCACCCCCTGTGTGCGACTTGCAATAAGTCACTGCAACGGTAACAACGATATACCAACTTAGCAAGAAGAACGAACAGCCACGTGCCGCACATAGATGAGGCTGGATGCTGATAGTTAAGTACTAGAGATGTCAGCAATGACAAAATCAGGGTATACCCTTAGTGATAGCTCCCTGAGCGCAGCCCTTTACCGTATCGCCGGCTCTGTCACCTAGGATCAGGGATTCGGCTTTACCGGTAAAATGTTAATGTACGAATTTGTGGCTGATGATCTCTCTAGAGAACCCTATTGGCAACAGCCTTGACTGCTACACGGGCTGGAGCCACACTACTCTAATCTCAGCCTACACCAAGGTAAGTAAGTCTTATGTTGAAAAACATCCGTATGATCGTCTAGTGAAACTGACTGTGGGGCAGTGGACAGGGAACTAGATAACGATCAGTTAATTCCCATGATATAGATCAACTAGGTATGGATCTGTTTTAAAAAAAACGGGAACAGTGAACGACACCAAGTGTGACGAAGAAATATGTTTATCATAGTACATGTTCTCACTTGGTTGGTTGCTGTCATGATGTCCATCCCTCGGCTGCACGTTTTCGGTGGAAGGTTTGCGATTATCGAAATCCTACATGGAGTCACCGAAGTAGCAGCAATTCATTTTGTCGGTTATACCCCAAATTTGCACGAGCATAATACCCAAACATCAGTTCTGCGACAAAATGTGAAGCTCTAGGCCGTTCCCTGGCTCTCAGTAACACACCACGATTCGTAATAGCCACCATGTTGTATGTCTGCATATGCATCGAGTGCTGCCACTCCGCCATTGGTAAAGAACCCCTCCTAGGGTTTAACCTTTACCGCATATAGCTGTTTTGTATATCACAACGATGAACTGATGACTTATGCATCTCATCAAGAAAACATCCCACTAGCTTTCCGAAAAATTGAATCGCGGTCTTTTTGGTATGTTCGTTTTCACATGAAATCAGTATGGCTCACATGCAACAAACTTAGACTACAACACTCAAGGTTCGATAGGCGTAGAGGACGTCTTACCTTACAAGCGCAATAGAAGAAGTATCCAGCCAGCAGTGGAACAGCGAAAACTTAGTCTCAAAAAGGAGGCGCTGCTATTCGTAGTCAAGCACAACCACAAAGCTTCTTTTTTAGTCCAGCCATAAGCCCCGCATCACCGAAATATCTTTTGCCTAAGACGGCGACAATAATTATTTCCACGTAACGACAATCGAATGAGACAAAAAAAATCAGGGTGTTACTGAGGGCTTCGAACGAAGAAGAAAGAGATGTACTTACCTAGCAAATTTTCCAGACGATATAGCGATCGTAACTTCATCTCGTGATCTCACGATACCTCCGAATTGCGGCCCCCGAGTGGGGCTTGACCATAATCAACCCCGCCCAACCCACCACAAGCCCCCGCTACGTAGAATTCTTCAAGACTACCCTCAGGTTCCTGACCACTTCTCCTGTACGGATATTGTGAATGTATATATGATCATTGTAGTTCAAATTACTTTTATCAACGTCTTCAGTAGTATAGTGGTCAGTATTTCCGCTTGTCAAGCAATTGGCAGATCGCGGGAGACCGGGGTTCAATTCCCCGCTGGAGAGTTTTTTTTTGCATTTTAATCGGTGGCTCAAGGTAGGCTGACGAGACAGGGCATTGCCGATAGCCATGGAAGAGCCTATCCTCGTTGGATCAGTGGCGGTGATCAAATCACTCAGCCTATGATCCGTGATCATTGCACTTTCGAACATGCTCCACGCATAAAGAAGGAAGCGTGGCTGGAGGAGAGCTAATTAGAAGAAAGCAACTGAGAAACTAGCGGCAGTGTGGTAATACAGCTACAGTGTTTACTTACTTTTTGGAAAGCTTATCTGGATACGAACCGACAAAAGAAGCCAAGCATTCATATAGGTAACAAGCAGGACTCCTCCCTGGTCGAAGGGTCGCAGGACGAAAGACCAGCAGGCAGGGCACGTGGAAAGGCGTTCACCTCTGTGGGGCGGTCACGTGACTATTCTCTCGCCAAGGGCTGCTGCCATCAGGCAAGGCAGATCCACTTTGTGATAGCAGGCTATCATAGGAATAATGGAAATGAAAGATGCTATGGTCAATTTAGGTAGCGATACAGATTGCAATAGAAATGAAGCCAGTACGATTTGAGTGGAAAACAACGAGGGTAGTTAATGACATCTACTTATCCATCCCTATATCCCGAGTGTTCTCACTCCTGTGCTCCCGTGCCCCCCTTCTATGAGAGAGGTTTGGGAGGACCATGGTCTCCCTTGCCCCACTCACCTCCCGGAGGCCCAGTCTTTGCTAGATGTCAGCAGTTACGTGATTATTGCCCCGCAAGGGTCATCATGCTAACAGTAACCCAAGTGATCTTTTTAACCACTCGTGGTTAGCAATCTTGGAGGATTTCGTCAGCGCGTTCCTTGTAACAGTATCACAGACCTTAAACACATGGCAGCCAGACAGTCTACAGTCAGTTTCTCCTATATTCAACCTCCTAGTATTTACTGTTTCTGACATAAACTTGTCTAAATAATGCTAGTATCGCCAAAACTCTAGAAAAGTCGGCAATCAACTGCCACTACGCCAGCTACTACAGAGTGATACCAACGCTGTAGCTACATAACTAGATGAAGCTCCTTTAGACGAGAAGAGCTTACTATGGCAAATAATGTTCAAAAAACGTTAGCGTCGTGAAAACAGATTGTCATACACATTCCTACAGCCCGAGACGGAGCTAAAAATAGCTGCAGCTTTAGTTTTTTTTCTAGCTATTCTAGCGTTCTGGCTTTTTTAGCTTCTCTAGCTTTTTTTTTACTTCTCTAGCTATGATTTTCTAGTAAATCACAAAAGAGAAAGGGTCTTACTTTGAGTAGAGATTAACAAACTTAAAATAGCTCCTCTTACCTACTAGGTACATAAATAGATAGAGTAAATAAAGTACGCAATCTATTGCTTAGCACTTCTCTAGCTATAAGTACTAATATCATAGCTCTACTAGCTCTACTAGCTTTTTTAGCTTCTTTAGCTTCTTTAGCTTCTTTAGCTTCTTTAGCTTCTTTAGCTTCTTTAGCTTCTTTAGCTTCTTTAGCTTCTTTAGCTTTTCTAGCTTTACTAGCTCTACTAGCTTTTTTTTATTTTTAGCTTTTTTAGCTTCTTTTTATCGTTTTTCGTCTTCTAACCTTTTTTTAGCGTTTATTATATAATAAATACTTAATAAATTTAACCTAAGATTCAGATTTTTGAAATTTTAAAACTTATTTAATGAACAATAGTAAGGCTTTTTGAAGCTAATAAGAAATACTACTACTAATAAAGTTCGATATTTTAATCCTTTATAAGAAAATATTAACTAAGCTAACATGTAACTAATTATAATATATAGCTAATGCTGCAATAACGCGGTTAGCTCCATATCAATTGTATAGCTACATGATCCAGGGGTGTGTGATTTCTAACGAAAGTATCTACAACTATATAGCTAATATAGAGAAGAAGCACGATCCAGTATAAATCATGCTATAGTATTGTCGTAGATGGTTCCGCGTGCTTTAATATAGGGAGATTCAGTTGGTAGGTGGACTGTGATTTCCTTAGAATATCAAGAGTGGCGCTATACATTATTGTAAGTACGGCTATAGTGATATCTTGTACGAAACTAATTATAAACCTTATCAAGATCTCTAGAAGCACTTCAAGACTGATACTACAATAGACATGAACTTTACCTTTTTAATAATGCATTACGCGGGGAGTGAGAACAGTGGAACAAATAAACCAATATGTGCAAATCTTCATCTGACAGCTGTCTGGCAATGTGTGACAGATCGCGGCGGTGTATATATCTTCTAAAGAACCAGGACTGAGCTCATATTTCCAAAACAACCTAATTTACATCCCCCGCAGAAATTGCAATAGATACTGCGCGAATTAGCGTCAAGGTGTGCGGCGCTTCGATGAAGTGTGTGAGAACCTAGATCGCAAGAAGATCGACGAAACAGTCAACAACTATCTAGCACGACTCAATGAAATTGTAAGCACTGTTCAAGGTAAGTAGAGCCCCAAAGTATCAATCCTGAAATTGAGACTGCTAGCTCTCCGCATAGGTGAGACTTCTGCTATTGATTACGGTTGTGATCACCACCTCATCAAACGAAATCGAACAGTACTAGGCAAAGTACAGTTAGGGACTGTTCCATTTCTTTTGATGAGGTGGTGGGTGTTTTGCACCGACGGCGGTGGGGCCACTAAATTTCCGCTTTTAGCGCGAGTCCGAGAGCAGCTGTCTTGCTAGCCAATCGCTCATAAGTAAAGGTTCTGTCTTTCTGCCACCTGAAATGGTACAAAGTTCGGACAGTGCTTCCGCTTCAACAGGTGACATTATCAACAGAAGCCCATTGATTATGATGATATTCAACGCCCACCTCTGCGGCCGAGGGTACTCTGCTTTACTTACCGACAAGTCAGATTGTTTAATCGGCCCGCAATGTGTCTATTCCCCGGACTTCTCGGGCCATTTGCCTCAGCTTATGGCTTAACAATACTATGATCGGCAAGACACACGGCAAGTTGTTTACCCCAAAAACCAGCCCCAGACGTCCCACAGACCATGGCCGAGACCTCTCCACTTCCCCAAAGTGCGGAGAGGTGGGAATCTAAGTTTGGCGACCCCGCGATTCGTTCGGCGATTTGGCTCTGGTTTGATATGCCGGCGGAGACAATGCACTCTGCAACTGCCGGCAGCATACTTATTGATCAACGCCCATTAAGTATGCGTCCGTGCCAGGCAGGGGAATGCTAATCAGTACGCCGTGTTTCTGGCTCGGTCTAGGTGACGAAGACGCAATCGCTGTTCCGCGAGCATTAATAGTAGGGGATTCCATACATTAACATTGATATCGCCATGGCGAAAGGCCAGCAAAATAAAGAGCTGCTCGCGGCGCAAGCACAGTCCAAGGTTCATTTCGAGGACGACACGCATCGCGCCGCCATCGAAGACAACCCTGCAACAGCCTCAGCGACAGCCAGGACATGGGCCTCCATCTTTGTGCGTCTCATACCCCCGTGAAATAAACAACATGTCAATACTTTTGATAGCATGCTGACCAAAGAGTGAACATACAGTGTATGGCCGCGTCCTTTGGTCCTGCGGTCCCCCTCCCCTTCACTTGTCTCGCCGCCATTGTCGTCCAGGTCTCGAAGGATCTGGGGAATGATGTGGATTTCGCCTGGATCGTCGGCGCCTGGTCGCTAGCCAGCGCCTGCTCTTTCTCCATTGCTGGCCCCCTCAGTGATGTCTTTGGGCGCAAGATCCTTGTCCTTGCCGGCCAGATTACTGTGCTTATTGGCTCAATTGTGGGTGCTACAGCTCAGAGCGTTGCCAGCCTGGTTGCAGCTGAGACCGTCATCGGTGCTGGAGCTGGTTTTGTCTTTGTGTCTTATTCTGGGGCTACAGAAATGCTTCCTAACAAATGGCGATCTGTTGGTGTTGGCATCCTCGAGGGCGGCATCATGATTCCTTGGTAAGTCCTTGTGGTATGCCCCTGATACATACCGTTCTTCAACGCTAATATCGCATGTTTGTCTACAGGGGCTCATTCAACGTTCTATTTGCCAACATCCTCCTCAAATATACCACTTGGCGTTGGATTTTCTACATCTCCATCATCGTCGAGAGCATCACGTTCGTCGGGACAGCCTTCTACTACAATCCAGTATCCCGCCCCCGCGGCGACTACGACAAGACCCGATGGCAGCAGACTCTCGAGGTTGACTGGCTCGGTCTCGCACTCTTTACTAGTGGCCTAGCAACCTGTCTCGTTGGCCTTACCTGGGCCGGATCTGCGGGCCACCCTTGGCATGGAGCATCGGTTCTCGCGCCCATGCTCCTCGGCATAGCAGTTCTTGCCTGTGGTTTTGCTTATGACTTCACCATTGCAAAGAACCCCATCTTCCCGCTAAGGCTCTTTAAGTTGTGGCGCGGATTTCTGTGCATCTGCATTGTCCTGTTCATCTCTGGCATGAACTTCAACTCGCTCTCCGCCGTCCTTCCTCAAGGTTCTATGTACATGTTCACAACTAACGGCATTGAAATCGGCGTCCTCGCCCTTCCCAACAACATCGAAGGCATCGTCGTCAGCGTCATCATCCCAATCTTTGCCCACAGGATTGGACACATTAAGTGGCTCTTCGTCATCGGTATGGCCTTACAGCTTATCTTCATCGGAGCAAGCGCAGCCACCGTTAACCCCAACCACAAGATCGCCTGGGCGTTTGTCCCGAGTTTTGGAGTTCCCATGTTCCTCATGGTTACCATTTTGGGCTATGCCATTGCTAGTCTGCACGTACCGTACTCGCATCTCGGTGTTGCCATGGGTCTTCTAGGCACGTTCCGCTCAGCTGGTGGCGCCGTTGGCAATGCCATATTCAACACCATCTTCCAGAACAAGTTCAAAACTTATTCTGGTGAAGAAATCCCTCGAGCTGCCTTAGCTGCAGGCCTGAAGGTGACTGATCTCGGCAAAATTATTCCCGGTGCCATCACGTATAACATTGGAGTGCCGTACGTAGCGTCCCTAGGCTCGATCGAGGGCATGACGCCTGCCATTGCGGAGACATTGAGACTCGCAGTGCGCCACACATATGGGCGCACGTTTCAATTTGTGTTCTATATCACGATCCCATTCGGTGTAGTGGCACTTGTTGCGTCATTCATGGTCGAGGATCCTACGCCTTACATGACCAACCACACGCAGGCGGCAATGGAGGCGCCAACAGTCGACGGACTGAGCTTGAAGGGAGCTGGAGAGGCAGATCCGGAGCACATTGAAGCTACTCAGGAGCCCAAGAGAATTGACTAATGGATTCTGAGATTCGTTGTCTTCTGCATGGGATATGCTGCTTAGAACTATAATTTAGCAATTAGTTACTAGAGTTGTGTAGTAGCTTGTAGTATCAGAAAATACTTCTTAGATTTTTAGCTTCTATTAATAAAAGCTATAAAGACTATATCGCAGTATAGATCACGTATCTAACACTACCTGATTAAGTAACTACTTAGTACTAATAGAATGGTTAGATATAGACTAGTGAATAAGATTAAGGTTCCTATTATAGGTATAGAGTAGAGTTAGGTTATATATATAGATGTTAGGAAAAAAATATAGTTAGGTTATATAAACTTCAAGTAATAGTAAAGTTAAGGTTTATTAACTATAAATAAAAGTAGAGTGGAGTAAACTATATTATAAGTAAAAGTAAGTTTGTATTATATGAATATTAAGTGAAGATAGAGTAGATGTATTCTATTAAGAAATATTATTATATATAAAGTACTTTTTAGGTATAGCCTGTTATATATTATATTATAAATTTATAGATAGTGTTTTAATTATATATTATATAGTAATAATAAGTCTAGGAGTATATTCTAGGTATAATTAATGATAATAGCTAACGTGTTTCACCAGTAAGCGGGCCACCCCAGTATGTGGGCCACCTCCCTAAACTATTACATCTTTGTAATAGTATTGCGCAACACCACTACAATGTTTTTTATTAAGTAGAATAAGATATTATTCTTTAGACGCATTGCTATCCTCTATATCCTCTAATTCTACTTAACAAGTGCGAGAGTTGTGTCCAATTTGGCTGCAACGCCCGCAGCGCCGTTCACTACGCACCCTCTTCGCAGACGTTGCACCATCATTATAGCTACTACCCTCTGCCTTAGCGATCTAATTAGCTATCTGGCTAACTGTCTAGGACCCCTTTGCCTGTACGTAGCGCCTCTTACGAGTTTTTCGCTTCGTTACTTTAGTAATCGTAGCTTTAAGGCGATCAAGTTTCTCCTACATTAACACTATATTATAAGCTATCTGCTAAGCTCCCTTACTTGACTGCTGTATCTACTCCTTAAGAGAACTTGAGGAGACCCTTGCTGGATTTGCATACGGTTTCGAATAAGCGTAGCCTGCGCCTCCATTTCGCGCGCGTTGCGCGGCGTTTTCGGCTCCCAAGCAGTAGTCTCTTGCGCTGGTGGAGTTGGCGTACGCAGCATGACGTTAAGCTGTGATAAAACAACGTTATAATCGTGCGGTGAAAGTCTAGCACCTTAGAACCCTCTGCGGATATTTTCTAGTGTAATAGCCTTATAATAGGCCTTTTTAAACGCTAGTAGGAAGGTTTCTTTGCTAATATAGTAGATGCGATTGCGTGCTAAGACCGAGATAGCATCACCATACGCGCGCTTTAACGGCGAGAAGCAGCCCACATCAAGAGGCTGTAAGAGGTGCGACGAGTGGGGAGGCATACAGAGGAGGATTATCTTCATCTCTTCGCAGAGATCTCGGAAATCCACCAAGCAGTGGCTCTCATGGCTGTTAATAATAAGCAGCCTATGCGTCCCCATAGGCCGCGCATGGGAATCAAAGTGACGAAGCCAGTCAAGCGCTAGATCGTTGTTCGTCTAGCTAGTAGGATAACTTAGATCACCTAGTCGCGTGGCAGATCCTCTGTGAACTAGGTAGAGATTAGAACCTTGCTAGCGAAGATAAGAAACGCTAGGATACGCGTGCCTGTTGCGCCAACGCCTTGTATTAGCGTAACCTACTCACGATTGCCTAGCTGGATCTTCTTTGTTCTCCCTAGTTTGTCTAAGCCCGTGATAACTAACTGTGATAAAATCTTGCCTATAATAAAGCCAGTCTTATTAAAGTTATAGATATCTTCGTCCACGATACCATACTTTGCCTTTATATTCTAAACTAGCTTAAACTAGCCCTTAATAAGCGCTAGGTCTTCGCAGAGAGCTCGCTGGTGATCGTATGGACGGCTCTAGCGCGTACGCAGCTTAGGATTGCGCTAGACAAACCTATCAACCCAGTTCTTGCCCACCTCCTTCCCGCCACGCTCTCGGAGCAGTCTGTTGGCCATATCTCGCACGTCGTCTTTCCCACAGGGTAGTCCTCGCTCAGCCTCGACTATTACACGCATAGTAATAGCCTCCTCTTCTAGTTTTGTTAGGCGCCTTGCTGGTGGCTCCCAATCGCTTCGAGGGCGCTGTCCAGCTCGTCGACGCTGGATTGTTGTTCGTGGGACGCTATAGGCGGCAGCAGCGCGTCGTTCACTCTAACTTTGTTTAGAACTAAGATTAGTAATAGCAAGAAATAGATCTGCTTTAGTATAAGTTTTTAACACGTTGCGTTGTTAAGACATTACGCGTTGTTGTTGCAAAGGTGGGATATCATAGGGAAGTGGCCCACATACTGGGGTGGCCCGCTTACTGGTGAAACACGTTACTTATATTCTCTTTATCGAGAATAAAATAGTGATAACATACTCAGTTATATTTAGCGTAGCGAATAGGTCTCTACCTTAGGATCTCTTTTTTTATAATAGCTCCCCTAATACTAGACCTATTTAGGCATTAAGTATCTTATTTTATAACTTCAAGATAGATTAATAACTTCCTAATGGATAGTAGCACGCTAGCTATGAAAGGTAGTAAGTTATGCCTCTTTAGGCTAGTATATCGAGACCTAAGTCTTAGTAATGTAGGTAGGCTAATAACTTATTAAATACTATAGCTAGCGTACTACTATCTATGAGTAATTTATGGATCTATATTATAGCTATAGCATAAGCTGTAACGGGTCGAGTCCTATTAGACTGCGCACGCAACTACAACGCGCCCACCGCGCCAAAAAGGCTGGCACAAGATATCAGAGCTGCTGATATCGTTGCGTAGTTGATACATAAGATAGCCACCGCTATCTGTACTGTAGCGGGCTACCTAGCCCGTTACATTAGCTATCTATTGCCTAAATAGGTTTAGTATTAGAACGGCTTTTATAGGAAAAGAGATCCTAAGGTAGATACCTATTCACTATGCTAGTAATGTTATATATATATCAATTTATTAAAACTCTTTAGCACACTAATACTATATAATAACATAGTCATCTTTACGCTATTCAAGTTTAAATAGTATATCAAAGCTTCTATATTTATAGGATAGGAAGTAACAAAGATAAATTATATTTTTAAGTTCATTGCTAAAGACAAAAGGTGATACTTCCACTAGAAATTTAAAAACTTACATAATCTTCTATTACTTACTTAGTATATAGAGAGATAGAATATATGAAGTATATCATCTATAACTTAGTCTTTAGTATCTAAACCCTTAGTATTTCTAAGTACAACTATGTACTATTAAATTCCATCTTTTTTACTTGATTCTTACTTTACTTAATGGCTTATACTTTCTTCATACTTTTAACATAATTATATAATCACTACTTAACTACTTTATAATTTTATCATTTGTATTAGATTTTTTATCTACTTGAAGTAATTATATAGAACTTAAATCACAAAGATTTTATTGAAGTAGTATTGTAACTCTATGTATATAGTTTTAATCAAAAGCGTAATAAATATACTATCTATATCTATCTACTTATTTCTCTAAATAAACCGTATTATATCTTATTTTCTTCTACTAAGCTAGCTTTTCTTTTCCTTTGTATCTATTATTAGTAGCTACCTATTAGAGGTATAAGTTGATTAGAGATACTAGCAATAATATAATAATAGCTTACCTAAGGTATATACTACCTACAGATAGTACTAACTTTATAAAGCTTAAAAACATTAGTACTATTATATTACTAAAGCTATGCTCATTCTAGTCTTTCATATATAGCTACTATCATGCTATTAATTACTATAATTATTTGGTTTCAATAGTATTTTGTCTTAGTTCATAATACCTTTTAATACTTTTCATGATACTTTGTAATTGATTACCTGAATAACTAACTAGTTTATGTAAATAATACTACTCACTTTAAGTGAAATTTTATTCATTTGAAATTGAAGCTAAACTCTAGCTTGTTATTGCCTGATACATCGTAGTACGCGTTTCTTATAATATAAACTTTAACATTGATATAGATATTTATATAAAGGTTTATTGTAAAATAGTTAGTAGGAATAATTATTACTAAAGGAAGAATACTAAGTATAATTCTTCTAAATAAATTTTGCAGCTAGCTAATACTAGATATAATTATAATAAGTATGAAGTGTTAACGTACCCCACGGCTTCGCGAGCCACACGGGTTCGCGAGCCACTTTTGCCAAGCCCTCACCAAAACTACTACCCCACCCTAATGTCGCAACAACAATAGCAGTTACAGCCCTCTAGTGAATGTTAGATATAGCTTGCTCTTTAAGCTCTTAAACAAGATATGACTCTCTCTCTACGACGCGCTGCAGCTATCTATAACGTAGATCGAACAACACTAAGCTAAAGACGCGACGGACGACGTTTACAGGCAGATCGCTAGCTAAAAACAAGAAATCTAACTAAGTTTAAAGAGGACGTGATTATTAAGCATATACTTAAGCTAGTTACGCGTGGATTTCCCCCTTAGCTTGCAGACGTGGCTAATATAGCCAATTCCTTGCGCGCTAAGCGTAATCTAGACTAGGTTAGCCAAAACTAGCCTAGTACCTTCGTTAAACGTCGATCTAAGCTTGTAACGCGTTTTAATCGCAAGTACGACTATAAGAGAGCCTTCTATAAGGATCCTAAGACTATCTAGGCCTAGTTTAACCTAGTAGCCCGCATAAAAGCCAAGTATAGTATTGTGGACGACAATACGTATAACTTTAACAAGACTAGCTTTATAATAGGCTAGATTGCCCCTAGAGCTGTTGTTATAGCTTTAGAGAGACGTGGACGACTAAAGACTATCTAGCCTAGCAATAGAGAGTAGGCAACAGTCATCCAGGGCATCAATGCGACCAGGTGGACGATTCCGCCCTTCATCATACTTAAGGCGCGCCACCA